AGTCAAGAGCTGGCAGCATACAAACAAGGTACTACTGCAAAATAGTTACTGAAATGAGACTATAACACACAGACCAGAGAGAAATCCACCTTCTGTAGGACACAAAGACAAAAGCCATCAATGTCAGCTGGAGACGAAAGCCCCAGAGCTGTCACCATGGTGCATTTCTTGGAAATTAGCAAGAGATAACTTTATTTTTTTTAAAGATTTGTTTATTTTTATACAAGAATCGGGGTACAGGCCAGAGATGTGGGGGGGGGGGTGAGAAGATTCACCAGAGACAGAGCGGGGAACAGAACAGGCAGATTGACCAAAGTATGCTGCTGAGGGGAGCAGCGGGTGAGACAGGAGAGGTCTGCTGTGCCATGTGTGTTTCTCCCTGGCCTGCCGGGAATCGAACTTGTGCTGCAGAGGTTGCGGATTGCTTCATAGGTTGCGTCTTAACCCCTGCACCACCAGGGAGGCCCAAGAGATAACTCTTTCTCTCCTTGGATGGAAACGAATGCAGGGGGGTCACTCTGTATTTGGCTGTCCCCCTTTCTGTGGCAGATCCTCACACGTGTTCAGGATGAAGATTTCACTCCTATGTTAGATGACTGAGTATTGCACTGATGTGGTGAGAGCTCTTTTTCATCTATTTTAGTCATATATTGGTTTATTCATTTAACAAGCACGAACCAAGTTGCTCTGACTTGTTGCGTTTTTCATTGGGCTTCTGGAACTGAGTTTGTTTGTTTAGAGTTAAGTTTTAATATGAAAATGCATGCTTATTTTTTGTAATATATTCCAAGAGGAAAATAGATGTTATATATAGAACTTCAACAAGACATGTAATGTGTAAATTATAGGCCCCTCTTATTGTTATGCAGTCAGCACTTAAGACACTTTATGCTTATTGATCTGGAGAAACTATAAACTTGCAGCATTTGGAAAAGTTGAAGCGTAATAGCATCTGGGAGGTTTGTTATGTAGGCACGTTTCTGCAGATGAGGACTACATATTTAACATTGCAATGAACCAACCCTATGAAAAGAAGTCTGTGGAATCAGGAATGTCCCTGTTCTTATTTCCATTCTCTCCACCAAGGAGGAAGCCTTCCTACTAGAGTGAAATGATGTGTTCAGGAAGTGGAAATACTACTATTGTTCTGTGAGGGTGTGGAGAAATGTGTGGGCCCTGTTCTTGTCATCTGTCTGTCTATCATTTATCCATCTATAATCTATCAATCATCTCTCTAAATAAAGTGCCTGCCTGCTGCGCTTTCCTCCTGATACCTTTATCCATATTAAATGTTAAGATTAATTCTCTGGAAATCTCAAGGTAATCATAATCCTAAGGGCAGGGTGAAAAGGATCAGCCTTGATGTGCTACTGGTCGGGTGATCTGTGTGCCTGGGTTGCTTGGAAAGGGCAGAGGTCCGCAGCCTTTTGCCTGCTGGGACTTCTTCAGCAGTTTCCATAGTTTGCAGAATATGTTGATTTTTTTTTTAAGATTTATTCATTTATTTATACAAGCATTGGGTATAGTCAGAAGCATGGGAGAGTGAGAGAATTCACCAGAGCCAGAGCAGGGAACAGAACAGGCAGACTGATGAAATACACTGCTGAGGGGAGCAGCGGGTGGCAGGAGAGGTCTATCGCGCCATGTGGGACCCTCGCCGGCGGCTGGGGATCGAACCAGTGCTGCAGAGGCTGAGGGCAGCTTCTCAGTCCCAGCAGCTTTAGTCTGCATCCCAGTCACCCAGCTTCCCTACACTGTTGGATCCTCAGCCTCATGGTTCTTTACCCCTCAAATAACAGTATCTGGAGTGGCCTGCTGGCTTGGTGTGACCCAGCACAGGTGCAAAGAATCGAGCTGAGGTGTTGCTGGAATGATTGTGTACCAGATGACACTGCTAGACTTGCCTCAGGAGCCACAGTCACATCTGGAAGGCCCAGTGCTCACAGCGGGGCTGAATGTCAGAGCCCAGCATCGCAGGCTACCCGTTGGGTTCTTGCGTTGATCACCTGTCTGCCAAGTGGAGCATGAGTAATGAGTAAGAATCCCAGGCACTTTTCAGTCCTAGGTTTGCTGAAAGGCTTGCCCCCCACCCTATGCTGGGTGCCCCAACTGCCTTGAGAAGTGTGGATGGAGCTCCAAAGGACAGTACGTGACTGGTGTGGTGCGGGGTGGGAGAGCTGAATTCTAGCCTGGCCCTGCCATTGCCGTATTTTCGGGCCCAGGCTTCTCTTGGCCTCCATTCTTCTCTGTTAGGTGGGCAGGGAGTCTGACGCTCTCACATTCTTAGATTGGCCTGTGAGCATTTGGAAGTTGTTTAGAAATTACAATGGAGCATTTTGGCAAACTGGTCTGTGTGGTTCAGGAGAGTAGGGGACAAAACCCTTTCCTCCTTTGACAGAGAAAATTAGACAGTGCTTTGTTTCTGTCACCATAAGGCAACTAATAGGGAAGCGAAAGCCATCACACTTAAACAGCGAGTTACAGCGGCTGCGCTATGTTAACACCCTTTTCTTCTCTCAGCGAGAGTTCTACTCGAATCTGTCACTTCCAATATTGCAGCAGCATGTTGCCGCCCATTTAGGTTAAGTAGCGACAGTGACTTGGAAAGCACTAAAGATTTTTATGTGGTGGCTGCCAGCGCCCGAGGTAGAACGTCAAGAAGGCCGGGCTCGCAGGTGGGCTCAAAGGCTCCGCGTGTTTAGCAGAGGCAACCCGCCGCAGGTGGCTCCTGGTGAATTCCTTTCCAAGTTCATGGGGACCGGGATGACGGTGGATCACAGACTGATGGGCTCCTCCCTCTGCCACCGGGAAGACCAATCACAAGAGGTGGAAAGCCACTTTCCCCTGCTGCCTTGGTGAGCTGGTGGTCTCCGTGGCAACCAGGGGCTGCCTTTCACCCCTTGCAGCTGGGACTATAGACCTTTAGTGATTCAAATTTGTAGCCACACGTTCCGTGCATGCATTCCTATTCCCCTTCCTGTGGCTCTGCTCTCATTCCACCCCTGACTCCACAGGGGAACTGATTTCTTTTGTTTGTTTCTGCCAACTCATTCCCATCACTTGTTACTTAAGTCTGGATCCTTTCATGATACCGGATACAATTCTAATTCCTACTCTGGGATAAACGGGGATTCAGATTCAGCTAACATTTATTGTAATAAGGAGGGTTGGCTCTGACAAAACAAGTTACATACACGATTTTATTTTGCTCACAGATGATAGAAATGTGAATGCAAATTGAATAAACATGACTGCTGTTTGGCACACAGTGCTCCCTCCTGGAATATTCTTTGGATACAGGAGTGAAAGAACAGGTCTATCAAGGTCAAGAAGGGTCTTTGGGGAAACATCCTATCAAGATCTCATCATTATACAAATGGAGAAATCAAAGCCCCACATGAGCAGTGACTATCCAAGATCAAATTCGCAGCTATTTAGACTCAATTCTGCTTCAGGTGGCCCCAGACCATTGTCCTATCGGGACACCGTATACGCTGCCTCAGGTGAAGCCAGGTGGTTGTAGTGGGAAATGTCAGCCTTGTCGTGTGGCACTCACATATTCTTCTGAGTGCTGTGGCAGATGTAGTGGGGACAGTACTCTGAGAATCATTCAACAAGGAACACTTTTTGGGAAATTAAAAAATATATTTATTGATGCACATATTTGAAAGATTAAAGACTAGAGTATTGACACTACAGTATTGACTAGAATAACTTAAAAGAAATCAGTAAGAGTGAGGCCTGGAGAAAGCAGCAGCTTGGGGGTCAAAGTGGTCCCAAACCTGATTTTGTCAGTTGGCCCGCACATATTCAAACACAGGGTGACTGACTCACATGACCAAATTCACCAAAAGCCAAGGTGTGAACCAGAATACCAGTTGACTCACTCATAAAGGGAAGCTTTCCAGCAGACTGAAGTACATGTGTTGGTTGGTCAGCAACTCTCTGGAAGATTCAGTATATCATTATAATCACGATTATGTCAAATAGTTGCTTGCTAAGCATGGAGCCAACCAGAGAATGGGGAGTCAGCGGGTTCATGGAAATGACTCATGAGATGCTGCACCCCTCTCCATGGCGGGGTACACCAGGTAAAGAGACTTGGAGCTCATGTTCTCTGGGCTGAGTGACATTGTCTTCAGCCCTGCACAATACTGGGGACAAACTGCTGACATATTCTTTCTGGATGTCTCCACTAGTGCTAGATGGTAAACTGACTGTTCTCTTTCAGTTACCATTGTTTCAGACAGGGGGTGGTGTTAGCTATCTTAGTTACAATGTCGTGCTAATTTGCCTTCATGGAACCATGTCTATTACCATATCAATTTCAAGTGCTTAGGGAACTATTCTGAGGTCCAGTCCTTCCATTATTACCACAACATGACTTTCCCCCCAGGCCCTTCAGGCACGTTCATCCCTATGGTCTGAAAGGCAAGTCCAAGACAAAAGTAAAAGCAAGTCTGGGTTTGATAGACATGAGTACTGTATATGGTAGTAGTGCCTGTGTAGGGAAAAGTGGGGAGAGGAACAAGGAGAAAAACTGGCATAGGGATTAGGAGTTGGGAAAGGCAATGGATACAGGAACAAGGGTACAGAAAGGGAAGTAGTGCTTCTGATGAACTTGAACCTGTCCTGTGTGAACTTGCTCCTGTGTTCTTCCTTTATGTGGCTGGTGCTGGTTTTGTGATGGACTAGACAAAATGCCCTGGATTACAGAGCTAATGAATATTAATGTTTGGTGGGAGAAGCAAGAAAAATCTGGAACATGGAATGTTGCTGAGGAGGGAGAATCAGGAAGGTGCTGCTGATGGGCAGGAAAAAGAATTTAACTTCATCATTTTGTCAAGGGCTGGATCCGGTTAAGATTTCCTACCATGTTATATTTTTCCAGTGATCACATTTTCTAATCTATTTGTTCTAGTAAATATGAATTCTAGATCAACTTCTCCCTGTAAAGAGCAAGAACATTACTCATTCAAGCTTGAAAATATTTTTTTTCTTTAAGTGAGCTTTGTTTTTTCCTTAATCCAGTTGACATAGCGCGACACCTTGGTATAGATTCCATATTTCCCTTTCACCGCACACTCTTCACCCCAGCTAATAATTCCGGTTAAGAAACTGATGCCTTCCACTTCAGTAATGTGGGGTCCCCCACTATCCCCTTGGCACGAGTCTTTACCTCCCTCATGGTAGCCGGCACAGAACATGTTGTTATAGATGGTGAACTTTGTGGACCGGAGGCACGTGGCTCGGTCAACCAGTGGAACCTTAAGATACTGAAGAACCGAAGCTGATCTGCCCCTGTTGAAGATTCTCCCCCAGCCGCTCACATACCCTGATCCAAATTTGAGGAAGATGTTCGTGTATTCCTTGTTAGCAACACAAATAGGTGTTACATAGCTGTTTAGTGTTAAGGGTTTATCCAGTTCCAGAAGGGCAATGTCGTGGCTGTACTTATTGATGCTTGCGTTGTAGCTGTGGTGAGGAATAGCTCGGATGACATTTCTCCTTTGCTCCGTATTTTCCATCTTCTCCGTATTATATTCACCTATTGAAAAATAAATTTCTTTTTCAGTCACAGTCTTTTCCATAAAGAAGCACATTTGCTAGAAGCCCACCCAACATCCTGTACTTAACTGGCAGCTTATGTTCACTTACTGAAAGTAAACTTCTCTTTAGACACAAATAGTCTTTCACATAAACAGATTTTCCAAGTGTGCGCTCTGCATTCCTGAATCAGTTGGTAGCGAAGTGTCAAGGACCCCAGTCTTATTGTTATGCTTCTGGGGAAGTATCATGAGGGCCGCAAGACCATTCAGGGCCATCATAAGGACGGTCCTGTCCATTTGGGCTGTTACAAGACTTATGCTCTTCACAGGCGATTACAAATTTACTTCTCATGAATTACTCGATACTTCTCCAATTTCAAGTATTTTGACCCCGTGTTTTGAGCAGAAACAATGTATTCATTTAGTCTTTCACTCAAATGTTGGCCAAGGATCTGCTACAGGTTGTGCCAGGTTTCGAGATACAAAAATCAGTGGTAGGCATGGCTTTTGGGAAGGTGTGGTCTGATGGGGATGTGGACACATCAGTAACGATTGAACCCCAGTGAGGTGAGTGCTAATAAAGGTCCACCACCTGGAGGCATGGAGGATGGCACAAGTTGGTCCCTCCAGCACTAGCCAAATTATTTCGCAGCGGTCCTATGAGACCTTGATAAAGTACACCGCAGAGATAGAAGATACAGCTAGCGCTGCTGCAGAGTGCCAGCCCTTAGCATTTTTACCTGCCACAACCGTGATGTTCACTCCGGGTTCGATACAGTGGGCCGCTGTGACGACCCATTTCTCATTAATGATGGAACCGCCACAGAAGGCATCGATTTTTCCATTCAAAAGGACCTGTGCAAACAAAATTATGAGTCTTACTACATACTAGATTTGATTCAGAACGAAAAAAATGGGTGTGCTGTTTATAGGAGTGGGCAAAAACTTGGCTTATAGGTGCTGGCAGAACTGGAGTGTTTCTGGAAAGTGTCAGCTTTGCAGGGGGAAGGGGAAGGAGAGTGTTTCCACCATCCAAAGAGCCGGTTCTGTAACTATCTTGACGGGAAGGGGCAGTGAGCGCCAGGGGGCGCTCTCGATGAGGCAGCCACGAAGGAGTGCCTTCCTTTGTTGGCCCCCACACTGGGATTCCTTTTGTGGGTGAATCACAGTCTCAGAGAGCAGGAATTGCTTCACGGGGACACGCAGGAACATTCCAGAATGCACTGACTTCACTCCTGGGCATCAATAGTTATTACTGAGTCTCTGGTCCCTGCACGAGGAAATCTCGATACAGATCATTCGAAAGAGAAAAAGGACTGCGTTTGCTAGAATGTCTTTTCAAAGCTTTCCCATACCGGAATATTAAGAGATGAAACTGATGGATTCCTTAAGGGCTGTGCTCAAGGCCGTCCCGGCCGCCAGTGAGAGGCAGGGCTCACGTCCCGTCCACTCTCCCCTGGCCACACCCCACACCCCCTACCTGGATAGGTGAGCTGCTTTGCCCTAAAAGGTCTACTTACCTGTGCTTGAATTGAGAGTAAAGTAAAAAGGTTTTCGGGCGCTGCTTTGAACCTAGTCATTAATTAGGTATCAGGAAATACAGTTCTCTGGCTATAATCTGCGCCCTCAGAGGAGACCACGCATGTTTTTGTCACCCTCACACCTAGATCAACTTGGAGAATTTCACTTGCAATGAACAAGGGCCTCCATCCCCTCTTGAGGAAGAGCGCTGAGAAGTGTGAACACGAGAGGGCGCACTCAACATTTGGTAAACCCTCCATGGGAACTCGCGAGCTCTGGGAGCAGCGGCCCTTTCAGGAAAGCACACACAGCCCCAGGCGAAAATCCATTCAAAAAGTGGGGATCGGCCCCTCTACGGGTGAGTCAGGGAAAGGCCTTGGGGCACGCTCTAGTGGGGGTCTCTTTGTCCTGAATTCAATTTACTGAGCACTTACTAAGTCCTAGAGACTGAAGCACTAGCCTCCTCGCTGGAGACCCATGGTGCTGGCTTCTTGCCACGTCCATCTTCTTCCCAGTGTCTGGCTTCCCTGCTCACGCTAGCTGTTGTTTTCCATTTTGAAAAGTTGTCAAATATAGGAAAGCTCAACAGTCATATAATAAACACCAGTGTACCTCCCACTCAGATTGAACAATCTTATTTTTTCAAATACATATTGGTTGCTTGTGATGGGCAGTGATCATTGTACTAAGTATTCCAGGTACATTTCATAATCAACACTTTGTGGAGAGATAGTAATATTGTCCTTTGTAGATGAGCGAAGCAAGGGTCCATAGACCTGTTAAGTGCCCTGAGCCGAGCTCCTGGTGAAGCTGGGAGGCAACCCTAGCCTTGCTGGCTACAAACTCCCTACTCCTGCGCACCCAGGATTGCTCCAAGTATGGCCTGTGGACCAGTTGCTGGAGACTGATTGGGGAAGTTTGCCAGATGCGGACTTGGGGACCCACCCAGTTTTAATCAGAATATTTGGGCGAGGGATGTGAGAAAACGAAGATCTCTGTGTTTGAGAAATCTGCTTCAGAATTTCTAAGGTGTGGTGACCTTTATATTTTCAAAGTGCTCAGTCCAGGCAGATCTGGCTACATAATGTTTCGGGTTCACTGCAAAATGAAAATACAGGCCCTTGGTTCCAAAGACAGGCAAAAAATACTGTTGAAGATACTAAGATACAAAACTTACCCCTTTCTTCTTGCAACCTATTGTGGTGTTTTTAAGTTGCTATTTAATGCTGTGTCCCTCAGACATGGGTATTGGCTGCAGAATGCAGATCCTCACCTGTGCCTGTGGGCTGCACTCTACAATTTTGCATGCACATATCCTTCGGCTGTCAGGTCCCCTTTCCACCAGCCACTGCCTTGCAGCAGAGGGACGGGTAAGGCAAGGTGCTCTCCCCTCCCCCCGGCCCACAGCAGCGGTCAGCAGTGGAGGAGTGATTCCTAAGGGGCTGGAACTTCCTAGCCAGGACATGCTGGGTACCTGGGAAGGTGATGGGTATTCACCTTCAAAGTGCAGTGACACATTCCTGGCCCTGAGATGCCATGCGGCCATGCCCCCTGCCAAGATGGCCTAGGCTGTGAGCACAGAGCCTGAGCCCTCCCTGTGTACGTGCAGGAGGGCAACGCCAGTAGCTGGGTGGCAATGAGAAGGGGAGCGTGCCGGGGTGCCACGAGTTGGGGAATGGCAGTGGTCATGGGGCAGGTATGGAGAGGGGGCAGCTGGGCTGGCCAAAGTGCCAGGGGACAGGGAAGCATGACGTCAGGAACTCATTCCCTGGAGGTGGTGAGAGGTGAGACTGCAGGGATTCAGGGTGCCCCGTCCCCAGCACATGCTCAGTTGTCTCACAAGGCTTGGGCAACAAAACTCAAATGCGAAGCACTGGACTCCAAATACATGATCTAGCCAAGTGCAGGGTCCTGTGCAAGTGTCCCACTCACAAGCTCATGAAGTTGGCCTTGACCCCAGGTGCCTTTCATCCCCAGGCAAATTTGGGGAGACTGGTTCTTTACAACTGGATACAAGTAACTGGAGAGAAGAATTCATATGCAATGATATAATGGTGTGTCTCCTTTTTAGGGGGAGTTGGACAGACCTGAGCTTACTGGGCTAGTTAGGCCAGACCAAATGATGACCACTGCCCCAGGGCACAGACTGTGATGCAGCTAGTCTGACTTGCCAGAAACTTGCTGCTGGGAGCCTGGAGCTTCAACGGCTTTATATGGATGTCTGAGAAGTATTATTGCATTCTTTTAAAACTGAAGAGCATTTTTTTTTTTTGGGCCAATCCCCGATTGGTATTAGAAATGTTAGCAAATATCTTTGCCAAGAAAAAGTCCCAAAATATATTTGCATTAAAAGATATTATAAACGACTTGATTTTGGAATGTTTGCTTGGCTACCTCAGAATCACAGCTATTTAAATATTAGTTATTTGGGGAAGAGCTCTCTGCTTGGCCAAGGCCAAGTTCTTATACTACATGACTTTGGAGAATGATAGGAAAAAATGGGAAGGCAGGGCTTCCTTGGTGGTGCAAGTTAAGTCTCAGCACCATGAAGCTATTGACAGCCGTGAGTTCCATCCCTGGCCAGGGAGCTGACCCACATGGCACAGCAGACCTCTCCTGTCTCACCTGCTGCTCCCCTCAGCAGTGTATTTCAGTAGATCTGCCTGTTCTGCTCCCCACTCTGTCTCTGGTGAATCCTCTCACCCCCAGCACCTCTGGCCTACACCCCAGCTCTTGTAATCATAAATAAAATCTTAAAAAAAAATGGGAAAGCCTATCTTGTGAGAAGGCATCTGAGTTCTGATCAAACACCTTCATGGGCATCAAATCCTAACGTCTCTTTCAGACACACACACCACAACAAACACACCCACATGCCACATGCAGCTACAAAATACACGTTCACATATCTGTTTGGATGCCCTTTTTTAACAACGCCAGTCTACGGTAATAGCTTTTGCCCTATTGTCTTCCTAACCTTTCAACTTGAAGCTGGCCTTTTCCTGTGATTTTAGTAAACCTTTCTCCGCTCTTCTCCCCACCTCCAGCTTGACAATATCTTCCCCACATTTGCATACTCTTTCTCCACAGAGGAAGCAAAACCATTTCTGGGATGGACAGCTTGTTATCCTCACAGGAATGATTCTTTCAGCCCTCTGCCTTACTTCGTGGGGGTTTGATTTTTAATGGTAAACTAGACTAGCCATTGAAATGGATTGCCTCCAGCCATCTTCAGGAATAATAAACAAAATGTCCTATTTGAAACAGTTTTGTGTGGCCGGGTGAGATGACATGTCTTGTTTACATTTCTCCTAACTGGAACTTTATCATTCGAGCTAAGAAAATAGAGGGCTTCCTTTCGTAGGTAAAGTTTATGTTGCCTTAGGAGCTTCAAATAGCACCTCCCTCGCCACACACACCATGAACACTCTAACGCCCCCAGCAAAAAATAACAACAAAAACCCAAAGTTCTGGTTGGTGCATATGGTAACTGAATGTGGTCTGCTTGGGGGTGTGTCCTGCTGGAATGAAAAGGACTGGATCTCTGTGTGAAGCTCTACAGGTCAAGAACTCAGGTACTTTTAAGGAGAGCTTTCAGGCCAAAGCTGAGGAAGCCAAAGAATGGGAAAATGGCAAGGCATTTTAAAGATTGTTTTAGCCAAGAATAGAATAAGGAATAGACTTTCACAAAAACATTTTGTCAGTGAAAATGCTTAAATAGACAGCTGTGGGAGGAGCAACGTAACCTAAGGACAAGGAACACTTCCCTACTTGCGTCCAGTGTGTTCTCTTTCTCAGACGTAGTGGAGTAATCTTTAACTTATTACGTGGTGAATAAATATGGCAAATACCAAACTGAGGCCCACAATAACACAAAACACAAAGACCAGGTACTTGGCTTTCAGGGCCAGTGAGACCCTAACCTTGTGCAGGAGAGGTGCCAGGGGGACTTGGGGTAAGTTTGTGCATGTGCAGGCTGTGGGCAGGCAGCGTCAACGGCTGGGGCAAAACCAAACGAAAAGTTCTAGAAAACATGGCTGCATCGCGTCTTCAAAGCTCTCATTCTTAAGCTGTTGCTGAAGGTAACGTAGCAGCATAGGCACTGCTATTGCCCTTTCTTTCTGGAATGTTTCAAAGTGTCATCGCTTCGCTCTGGCTGTATGTCTTGTTCCAGCGTCCTACTCTGCTAACGATGCAGAGACAGCCTTTCTGTTTCCACTAGAGGGCACGCAACAGACCTCGTGGAAGCGCCACGGCTCCTCCCTCCACGACCGCCTACGCCCTGGGCTTGGGGTGGGGAGGAGAAGGAGCGGGTCGGGTCGCAGGGGCTTCTGGGAAGCCTCTGTGGCGAGCTTGGCATGGCCGCGGCCTGGCTTCCGGCTCCATGAATTGGACAGAAGCTCTAGAATAAGTTAAGAAATGAACTGGGTCGCCAGTGAGCCCTGTGGAAGGAGCGCATCCCCCTTCTGGGGCTCGAGGCTGCACTGGAGGGGAGCCGCGCCCAGCTGGCACGACTCTGCCGCCAGGTGACTCAGTGCCCTGGACACCCCTCCACCCCCGGGTGATCTGTCCAGCCCCGACTGGCCCCCGTGATGCAGCAGCTCTTGAGAGTCCACAAAGCCCCAAGCAGTTGTTCAGCCAGCGTCTGCCCCCAGAGCTGCTGCGCTCCCGTAACCTACGTGCTCGCCAGGCCTTGCTTAACCCCGCCGAGTCGCCGGCCTCTCACTTTCCCCCAAGTCCACCAAGAAAAAGTCGTCTCCCCGCCGTGGCCCTTTAGCTCTGCACACAGCGCACCTAAACCTTTTCTAGTCCATGCCCAGTCCTTCACCCCGCACTTACTCGCAGTGGGAGGGAGCTCCCGGGGCTCTGAGCCGGAGGTCTTCCCCCAGCGCTCACTGTGTCCCCCACTTCACCGCTGTCTGTCAAGGGGTGGTGTTTTGAGCCACGCTGCTCTGGGTGACGTGGCTAAACAGTATTTCCTGCCTCAGAGCCGTGGAGGACGCTTTGGCGCGTGCCAGTCCGGCTGCTGCTGGCCTCCCCTGGACGGCTCGCCCGCAGCAGGTGCGCTGAGGTCTGGCCCGCGGGCCCACCCAGGCTTCCCGCCCCGCAGGCGGAAAGGGACGAGGCGGGGCCCGCTCCCACCAGTGGGAAGACATTCCCGTGGGTTTCATTTCCGGTTTCCCCTTTGTCTAAATGGGACTTTCGGACACACAGTCTAGCTGTTGTTTTTGAAACCAGTAACCTTTGCTGAGAAACTGGGTGGAGGCGTGTGGAGGGGCAGTTGGCAGGTCACAAAGGAAACACTGCAGAAGGATGACGGGGTCTTAACCCCGGAGGAAGTCGTTCAGCTCTACGCCTTCGGGAAGGCGCACAATCTCGTGCTTTGTACCTCTGGGCAGGAATCTTCGTTCCTAGGGGGGAGCTAGGAGTGACATGCACAGGTGCACGTGCACAGCTGTGGAGGAGCGACCTGGAGCACTGCGAAGGGTCTTAGCCAGAGTTGATGGGAAAGAAGAAAAGGTGCACTTGCTCTGAGCTTGCAGTGAGAACATGAGAAGATTGAAAATATTTATCATTTATATCTTCTCCTCGTGGTAAAACTGCTACCATCTCATGCTTAAAAGAAAAAAAGCATAGCTTGCTAGAGTTCCTAAAATTTCTTTCAGCGAATGCTTGCGTTATTAAAATCGATGTTGTTAAAACCAGCAAGCTTCAGGTTTAAAGGGGGCCAGTGGGGAAGTGAGAGAGGATGTGACGAAATTGGGACTTAATTACTTCCCCCCACCCCTTTTTTTAAGCCCTCATCACATGACTGTATTTGCCACTTCAGTTCTGGGATGACAAGGGAACAATGCGAAGGCCACAAGGGGTCAATGCTAAACCCACAATGCCTGCGTCCTGGCAATTTTTCTTAGTCCTGTTTTTTTTTTTTTTTTTTTAAAGAGAAGTCAAGTTCTTAGTTAATGCAGCTCCCCTGGGTTCCTGCACCCCTCTCTCTACGTGCCACAAGCCCAAAGAAGAGAATCGGTATACTGTAAGATCTTTGTTCTAACCGGCTAATCCACTGAAGTTGGTACATAGTGAATGAAAATGTGCAAGAAAGCAAATAGTAAAATGCAACAGAAAATTCAATACATGGATGTAAAACAGAATGAAATAAAAAAGCATAGTTGGAGTGGCTAGCCCAAGAGGACTCGTTCAAGGAAAGGTCGATGGAGGAGGTCAGTCTTTGGAGGACTGAAGGAGCATAAAGAGGTGATGAGTGGCAGCAGGGGTGATGGTGGCGGAGGGAGGAAGCACCAGTAGGATGCCGCGGGTGGGGGCGGGGGTTGGAAAGGAACATACGGTGGATCTTATTTGCCATAAGATCAAATTCAACCAAAGCAAGGGTCAAAAAGGAGAGTATAAAGTCTTGGTTGTGATGGCCCTCCACCCTTTCGTCCCATTCTCCACAGTACCTGCCAGTCCCCACCTCCCAAGTGTACTGGATAGATACGTAACTAATCTCAGCAACTTCCATTGGCATTAAACGCAGGGATTCTGGCTTAAATTGTGCCTTGTTTGAAGACTGAAAAGTCTTTAAAGCTGTTGGATTCTGATGGCAAAGGCCCAAACCTCAGTAAAAACTATTTCGGAGTGAGGCACCCTCAGAATTCCTACAGAATCATATGATTGTGGCTACTAGAGAGTTTTATGTTAGACAAACTTTCTGACATGATGGAAATGTTCTGTAATCATGCCGTCCAAGGCGCTAGCCACCTGGGGCTGTTGTGCCCGGGTGTGACTGAGGAGATGCATTTTTAATTTTGTTGAAGGATAGTTAATTTCGATGGCTATCTAAATGGCTATCTAAATAGCTACTTGTAACATGTGTGGCTACTTGTTACCTTATGGGACAGCATAGTTGGGGTAAGGACCAACCCTGCTCCTCACTTCTGGGGCTACCCCTTTCCTCGGTGGAATCACACAGGCTCAGTTACAGTCCAGGTTTGACTACAAATCTAGCTCTTGGCTGTCATTGCTAAAGTGTGCATATATATGGTGGTTCTCTTGAGGGTTGTCTGTAGCTTGCACCTGGAGAAATGTGGAAGTAGGTGCCAGGAGTCTGCTGTTTGGTGTTCTATCACAAGTCTGCTTCCTTTGGACCACTGGGTTTCAAATTGAAGCATGCATCAGAATCACCCAGATTGTTGGGTCCCGCCCCCAGAGCTTCTGCCTCAGTAGATTGGTGGTGTAGCGTGAACATCACATTCTTAAGTTCTGAGGTGATTTGAGGCTACCACCCTTTGAGAAGCACAGCATTGGACCAAGCCCCTATCTCACATTCTAGTCCCAGTAACCAGTGCTAGCCTTCATCCTTCCTACTTGTCTTTTAAAACTCTCTTCAGAGTGATCCAGTTTGCCCTGGAACTAGAGACTTTCTGTTTCTTGACAGTTCTCTCAAAGGCTGTTGCTGAAGTAGTACCCTGAACCCCAGTACCTGTGACCCCACATCTAGACCTCCTTGATGCTTCTTTTGGAATACATGCATGTAAAACAGAATGAAAGCATAGTTGGAGTGGCTAGCCCAAGAGGACTTGCTCAAGGAAAGGGTGATGGAGGACCTTTGATGCCAGACTGTCCTTGACCTTGTATGATAGCTGGCCCTGGACTTCTCTTTCTGTAGCTGCCCACCTCTTGACACCTGATAATGCTTAATGCTGAAACTTGCATAAACTCCTCTCTCGCCCTGATGGTGCTGTCCAGTGTCCTAACCACTGGCCTCCCACCTGGCCTGTCCCTTTCCTGAAGCTCTAGTTTTGACATACTGTCCAAATAGAGTACCTGCCAAGGGAATTGACCTGGTTTGGCGTTTTTTCCACCAACAACTCGAGTCAAGTCTTCAGATGATTGATTGCTTTGAGTGACGTTATTCAGAATTGTTATAGCTTCAGTAGAATTTTCGTCATCTATGTCGTAAGAAAAACTCTCAGCCCGTGTAAGTTTCACAGGAATGTTTGGGACAGAAACTCTTCCACATGGAAATGGCACTAGAAAAACAATTAAAAAAAATTAGTATTCTGATATTTCTCATTGGCAAACAGAACATGTATTATTCCAGAAATCGAGAATGAGACCCATCCTGGTCACTTCTGAGAATGAGGCCCATCCTTGTCACTTCTGAGAAGCAGGCCCATCCATATTAAAAAAAAAATCTAATCAATGGCTATAGTCTCAAACTAAAAGGTTAATTGCATTATTTTCATGGAAAGTTTTCAAGGCCTCCATGAAGAGAACATTTGGCTCAGGAATCCATCATCTTTACAGATATGGAACAGGTGTTCCAGAATCAAATTTAGAAAGATTTTATAAAGTCGAATGACTTTCTGTTTAGTTTCTTTACTAAAAAGTCTTACTCTCAAGTGCTGTCCCTAAATGGAAGTCTGGTGATTGGCATCCTATAACTTTAACTTTAGAATTAGGTCAGTGGGACTTCTGTCCAATTTTGTAGACTAGACTCTAAAATGGATTTAAGGTACCTGTTGGGGATGGATCGTTGTGATTTAATTACCTGGCTGTCAGATATTCGCCAAATATATTACTAATATGATTGGGATAGCCACATCCACCTGGGAAACCGATCACTATTTTACCTTGACTTGGTTTATTTCCTTCTGTTGTCTACTGATATATTGGGGACATCAAGAATGGAAATTTGTAGTCAAGCAAAGTCACCTCACATTTCATTTTCATTTCTCACTATCCTTCCAGCCACATTCCTTATAACAGACATTTCTATAGCAACCAGCTGCAGCAAAGTATCATGAAGACAGCAAGTGGTAGGGAAAACAGGAAATTAGTTCAAAATACTTATGTAAAAATATAAATCATCAACAATGGCTGGAGAAAAGGAACCATTACTATTGAAAGGCAGAAAAGCTTATTTTAGGCTTGACCTACTTATTCTGCTAAAGCTAAGGCTGTATTCAAATGTAACACTTAATAGTTGGAGGTGGTGCTCAGTGTTTTTTTTTTTTTTTCTCTTATAATATAGAAAGATTTAGCTACTGTGTCATCCGTCTACACTGGAAGTTAGGTTTTCAAGGTTAAAATACACATAATGCATGCTGGCACATGTGTGCATACGCCTCATGTTCCTTCCAAGGTAGGCTGGCTTTGGAGCAATGTATGTGAAGAACTAAGTAGAAGGACAGGCAGGCAGGCCGTTGAAGCAATTAGATGCTCTTCATTTCAGTTGCAGCTTGTACACCCTTGGCTTCTGGTCCTTTCTTTAATTTCCTCTGCTGCATGCATGGCTGAGATAGGTATCTAGCTGAGGAAGGGTGCATGGCTTCACGTACCACTTAAATAAGATATCAGACTTGGGAAATGTAAAAGAAATGGTATCTAGTTTCTTTCAAAAAGGCCCCTCATTTATCAAATATAATTGCTCCTCAGAGCCTACTTTTTTTTTCTTTATCAAAGTTTCCACTGCTCACATTTTCAAAGAAGAGCAGGATGAGTGTGGAGGACATGTTCTGGTTGTACCAGTTCCCTGCCAACATGGTGGCCTGGTTGACATGACAGGGAAGCTTTGCGTTGTCTGCAGCTGTATAACTTGACCGTGTTGATAAGCCCGGCACATCTTAAAATAGATGGGTGTCGGCACCAGCCTTACATGGAGCTGAGCCAAGACCCAAGGGCAGGACATCACTTTGCCAGTCAATCATTTATATATCTTTTCTGTTCCAGGATTACTCCATTAATTTGACTTGCTGAATTACAACGACCTATACACAAATCAATTGCTTCATGATATGAAAGTCAGAGAAAATATTGGAGATATAAGAAAGAATTCAGATGGTAGAGATTCCAGTGATAGAATCTCTACTTCAAATGATGATGCAATTTGTAAAATGAATCGCTGCTAATTTTTTTCTGTGATTTCAAGAGGAAATAGAAAACAGGGATTAAAGTTCTATAGGCTAGTTAAAATTCTGAAGGTTCAAATACAGATTTGGAGACTGTTTCTGAGCTTAAGAAGAAAAGTATTTCAATTTGACCTGCTGGTTCACAGGACCTTTGGTCAGCTGCGAGCTGGTACCCCGCTGTGCAGGAACAAGCCACCTTGTTATCAGCGCCCTTTTTACAAAACTGCTTGCATCTGCCATTCTTAATGCTGCATGTCGCATCTGCAAGAAAGCAAAGTCAAAGGTAATAGCATCATTTAACGTGTATTTCTAAAAAATACTTGAAACTACCGAGTCACAGATAGACCAGATCTAAGCTAGGGGCATTCATGGAGAGAATCTGGGGAACCTTGAGTGTGAAGTCAAAAGACAGGTCAGATAAAATCCTTAAAAAGACATAAAAATGTTGGCAGTGCTAGATTTGATTTGGCGTAAAACTGAAGGTTTGACTAATCTACCTTCACTAAATCATGGGCTGCTGCAATATTAAGAAAACAACTGTTTATTAAAATATAAAGTATGTTCACAAAAGTACTTGGAATGCTGGCATGAATTTTCCCCAAGCAAAGATGCCTATTTGAGCATGAAACAGATCAATATCAACCCTAGATTACCCGATGCTACCTTCCAGACATGGCTAGCTTCCTCCTTTCCAAGGTTACCATTGCCCCAACTTTAAAAAAATGATTTATAGGATTGGATAATATTTACAGTGTCTACCTTGAACAGTTATTTTTTTTTAATTTTTATTTTTTTTAGATTTATTTTTATTTTTTATTTATTTATGCAAGCACTGGGTACACTCAGATGTGCGGGAGGGTGAGAGAATTCACTAGAGCCAGAGCGGGGAGCAGAGCAGACAGAAGGACCGAAGTACACTGCTCAGGGGAGCAGCTGGTGGCAGGAGAGGTCTGCGCGCCATGTGAGACCCTCTTCCGGTGGCCAGGGAGCAGCCGGGGATCGAACCGGCGCTGCAGAGGCTGCGGGCAGCTTCGCAACCCAGCGCTCAACCGCTGCGCCACCGGGGAGGCCCTACCTTGAACAGTTATTGAAAGGACCAGTCATGTGAGTGAATTTGTACTGTAACAATGCAAACTTTGAATAGCAAATCATGTGTTAATGTTGAATTCCCAGTCAACTTTCCTCACATCCTAGATAACCATTACCCCAACTTTTCACAGTGAACTAGTGTTGTCTGTTTGTGAACCTTAGCCTCCTGGAATAATTTTGTTTTAGGTATCTCTCTTGTCAACAGTAGATAATTAGATTTTTAACTGTGGACTGAAAATGATCAGTAACCCCAATTCACATTGTGACCCCTGATACATTTGACTTGATCCTACCATTTTATTTTGTGTTTTCTAATTACTGTGCTTTCCCCTTGTTTGTCCTATGCAGTTTCAATAACAGGAACTAGCAGGACACCTGCTGCATTATGAGAAACTGTCTCTGCCCATGGCACTGTTTCTGTTTCTAGAGCATCACATGAGCAGAGTTGAGTATCAGACACCTTCCCCCTTATCTCCATGCTCAACAGCAATACTGCTTTCAATAGAAATTGTCAGTTATTAGGGTACTTGGAACATGGGCAGCTTGAACATGAGTGACCACTTCTCCATGGATGACACACAGATGGCCAGTAGGCCCATGAAAAGATGTTCATCATCACTTATCATCAGAGAAATGGAAATCAAAACAACAAAGAGATACCGCCTCACACGTGTGAGAATAGCTGCCATCCAAAGAACAGGAAACAAGTGCTGGAGAGGATGTGAGAGAAGGTAGAGGATGTGGAGAAGCCATTGTGGAAAGCACTAGGGAGGTACCTCAAGAGATTCCAAATTGAGATTTCATATGATTCAGTTATCTCATTTCTGGATTATTACCTAAAAAGAGAGCTTCCATATGACCCAGCAATTCCACTCCTAGGAATCTACCCAAAGGACACAAAAACATTAATTCAAAAGGGCACCTGCACCTCTATGTTTACTGCAGCACTATTTACAATAGGTAAGATATGGAAACAATCCAGATGCCTCAAAACAGATGACTGGATCAAGAAGATGTGGTACATAATGGTACATGATGGAATATTACTTAGCATTCAAAAAGGATAAACTCATGCCATTCACAGTAACATGAATGGAGCTGGAAGGGATTATGCTCAGTGAAATAAATCAGAAAGAAAAAGATAAACATCAGATGGTTTCACTTATAGGAGGAATGAAGGGGAACAATATAAGGGACCAGGAAAAAATAATTATAATAAATTAAAACCCAAAATTAACAGGCAACTATTAATCAGAAACACTCTGCAGGGGAGGGAGAGGGATCACAACAGGGGGGGAATATGATCTTACACAAGGGATTATGGTGATGGTGCACGGGTGAATTGGTGGTGGGAATTTTACAGGGACTACACCAGAGAGGAGAAAGCATGCATTGTACAAAAAGGAAGAATGATGTAAAATATAAATAAAATATAATTATAAATTCTAAATAAAAAATTAAAGTGAAAAACAAACAAAAACACAGAAACATGAATTTGAAGAGATCTATGCACCCCCATGTTTATTACAGCATTATTTACAACAGCCAAGAACTGGAAACAACCTAAGTGCCATTCAGCAGATGAGTGGATAGAGATGACATGGTGTACGTACACAATGGAATGTTATTCAGCTACAAAAAGGATGAAAACCTGCCATTGGCAACAACACGGATGGACCTAGGGGGCATTATGCCCAGTGAGATAAGTCAGAAAGAAAAAGATAAACACCGTATGATTTCACTCACATGTGGTATATAGAGAACACAAATAAATGAACTAGATAAAACAAAAATACACTTTTGGGCTATAAGACCAATAAGTTATTACCAGAAGTGAAGGAGGAAAGGGGATGGGTACAAGGACCAGAGGTGTGGTGAAGCTGGAATTGCACTTTTCTTGGTGACTGTAATGGAGTAGATGTACCCAATGAATCTTAGTGATACAAACATGAAATTTATAGGATGTCATAAAGCAATGGTATTTCAATTAAAAAACACAAATTCAGGGCCTCCCCGGTGGCGCAGTGGTTGAGCGCTGGGTTGCGAAGCTGCCCGCAGCCTCTGCAGCGCCGGTTCGATCCCCGGCTGCTCCCCGGCCACCGGAGGAGGGTCCCACATGGCACAACAGACCTCTCCTGCCGCCCGCTGCTCCCCTCAGCAGTGTACTTCGGTCCTTCTGCCTGCTCTGCTCCCCGCTCTGGCTCTGGTGAATTCTCTCACCCTCCCACACCTCTGACTGTACCCAGTGCTTGTATAAATAAATAAATAAATCTTTAAAAACAAAAAACATGGGAAACTTAAAAAAAAAACACCACAAATTCATTTTAAGAAGTGAGTGATGATAGCTGATACCTCCTGTGTGCCACCTTTGCTGCTCTCAGCCTCAAGGGTTATTCTACATCACTGTGGTGACCGGCTCTGCATGACCTCCTCTGTCCTCTTGTACTTGTGCCCTTGGACCTGCACGGCATGCCTCTCACCTCTGACCTTGGTGCTTCCCTGGTGATGCTGAAGCCCGGGGTGCCACTTGACCTCTCCATGTGTACAGCCTGGAGGTGGAGGCCGTTTCATAGTGCCCCGTTAATGGGACTTGTGAACATGGGGGCATGGAGGCTGATAGAACATTCTTCACTTCTCCCCTCCAGGTGGACCATCCCAAGGCCAGTCTATATGTCTTCTTGGAGAAGAGTCCCGAGGAAATCAAGCAGCCAGTTGCAGTGGCAGTGGGGCACAGGGGGGAGACATGACATTCTCTCCTTGGTCCTCCCTTCCTCACTGCCTCACCTCCTTATTCCTCACCCTTGCTCCCTAAGATTGCACCCTAAGAAGTAAGCTCATGTCAAAGACTCTTTTGTTTTGATCCAGGGAAACCAGAATGACAGAATGATTTTTTTTTAATAATAAATTTTATTTTTATATTCCCCATACAATTTCAACCCCTCCATTCTGACCCCAATCCCTCCCCTCCCTCCCCTCACCCCACAAAAAGTGTCTCTGGTTCATAATTTTTGTTGATTTTCACTTTCTTCTAGTTATTCAATTTCCTGGTCCCTTATTTAAGTTTTCTAGATTCCTGCTATGAGTGAGACCATCCGGTATTTTTCTTTTTCTTTCTGGCTTATTTCGCTGAGCATGACCCCTTCCAGCACCATCCATGTTTCTGCAAATTGCATGTGTTTATCTTTTTTGAATGCTGAGTAATATTCCATGGTGTCTATGGACCACATCTTCTTGATCCAGTCATCTATTTTTGGGCATTTGGGTTGTTTCCAAAGCTTAGCTATTGTAAATAGAGCTGCTATAAACATAGGGGTGCAGGTGCTCTTTGGAATTGATGTTTCTGTGTCCTTTGGGTAAATACCTAGGATTGGAATTGCTGGATCATATGGAAGCTCTATGTTTAGTAGGTCCAGAAATCTCCACACAGCTCTCCATAGTGGTTGGACCAGTTTGCACTCCCACCAGCAGTGCAGGAGAGTTCCTTTTTCTCCACAGCCTCGCCAACATTTGTTGTTGCTAGTTTTTTTGATATGTGCCATTCTCACTGGTGTGAGATGGTATCTCATGGTAGTTTTGATTTGCATTTCCCTGATTACAAGTGATGTTGAACATTTTTTCATATGCCTGTTGGCCATTTGCATTTCCTCTTCAGAGAACTTTCTTTTTAGCTCTTCTGCCCATTTTTGGACTGGATTATTTTCTTTGTTGTTGTTGAGTCTCATCAGCTCTTTGCAGATTTTTTGTGATCAGTCCTTTATCATTAGTGTTGTGTGCAAAAATGTTCTCCCAGTTGGTGGGGTTTCTCTTTGTTTTTGTTACTGTCTCTTTTGCTGTGCAGAAGCTCTTTAATTTGATGTAGTCCCAGCTGTTTATCTTTGCCTTCACTATCACTGCTTTGGGTGATGTGTCTGTAAAGATGTCTTTGATGTGCAAATCACATAGTGTTTGGCCTATATTTCCTTCTATGTATTTTATGGTTTCAGGTCTTATGTCTAGTTCTTTAATCCATTTTGAGTTGATTTTTGTGTATGGTGTGAGGTAGTGGTCAAGCTTCATTCTTTTGCATGTAGTGACCCAGTTTTCCCAGCACCATTTATTGAACAAACTTTCTTTGCTCCAATGCATAGTCTTTGCTCCTTTGTCAAAGATTAGTTGATCATAAATCTGTGGGT